CAAGGGGCGCACCCTTGAGTTGATGGTACACTCCATCACAGAGTATAAGAACAGCCTCCAAGTGAGTCCACTCTTGCAGGTGACCCTGAACTGACGGGAGTGAAACACACAAAAACAAACCCAAAGGCAGAAGGCAGAGGACAAGAGCTGACAAGGGCTGTGGACAGCATACACTTAGTACAACGCTGGCAAGAGGTCTGGGAGAAAGCCGGATGTTTTCAACACCCACACAAAAGAACATGAAGACACAGAGGGAAAGCTTGGGAGGCCTCTGTAAGAGGGACGGCATTAAACCCCAGCTCCACAAGCTCCTGTGCACCCTAGTGCATCAGACTCACACAGCACAAGGCACAATGTGACAATCAACTGGAATCACGTGACTTCTAGGTGCTGACCAGACTGTTCATACGAACACTAAGTGGGGTTGGACCCAAGACAGGATGTTATTTTCTGAATGAGAGGGTATCAGGAAAGGAGGGTGGGCTCTACACGGGGTTCTCTAACAAGTATCCAACTCACCCAGATCAGGAAACCCCAAGTTAACTTAACACACAAATATTCTTGCACAAAAGCAAGAAAGCAAATATACAAGTAAATAAGTAGCCAAGTACAGTAGCACATAAGGATAAGATAATCCCATCACTCTGGGAAGCTGAGGCAAGAGGGTCTCATTTCAATCCCAGCCTGGGCAACTTAATGACTAGGTAAAACCCCGTCTTAAAAAGAAAAAGTCCAGGGCCGGGGATTTAGCTCAGTGATTCCACTGCCTGCCTCGCAAGCACAAGGCCCCAAGTTTGATCCCCAGCACCAAAAAAAAAAAAAAAGTCTGAGGGTGTAGCTCAATGCCAATGCAAAGGTTTGTTCAATTTCCAGTAACAGTGCCCCACTCCCAAAACAGGGCAATAACCAGACATCTGATGCTCAATTATACTTCTCTTTATAAAAAAAGACTCCAAAATTGCAGCTGGTTCTAGTCTCTGGAATCAGTGGTCACTGATTTTGAGACACTAAGAGCTGGTGCAATCCTCCCTCATTTTGCCTCTGAAAACCAACTGTGGGTCAGACTGTAGCACCAAGGCGTACAACTCATGATGCAAATCCCTAGTAAAGCTCAGTACACTCAACAGCCAAGAACCAAGAAGCAACGCGAGTCCAAAGTCATGCAGCATACTGGAGGTGTAGCTCTACGGCAGACCAGGGTGAGGCCTAGGTTCCATCCCAGCAATGGAAAACAAAAGTCGCCCGTCGAACCTGAAAACTGGCTCTTCATAGTGTCCAAAACAAAGTGGCAGACTCAGACTGACTTTAAGGGCTCAGAAGACAGTGAGAGAGGAGTTCATCACAATTCCACCAAATGCAGCGTATTTATCATGCACCCAACATGCACGTACTGCCCACTTTAAAAAGGCCTCAAAGGGTCACAGAATCTCATGCCTATGAAAAACAAAAGTACAACTCAATTTCCTCTTCACCACACACTATCAAGCATTTGAACTGACTGAATATATCCTGTGCTTGAAAACCTCCAGAAATGGGTACACCTACCTCTATCTTGTCCCTGAGCCCGAGTAAAACCAGCTAACCTCTTCACCAATGACAAGCAAGAGCAGAAACAGGAAGAATCAAGTACAAATTACTGCTGGGTCCTCTGAAAGTAGTTAAACTTACAGTGCTTAAAAGAAAAACAAGCCAGACACAGTGGCCTACACCTGTAATCTCAGCACTATCAGAGGCTGAGGCAGGAGGATCACCAAGTGCAAGCACAGCCAGGGCTACTTAGCAAGACTGTCTCAAGCTTTTAAGAATGTGGGGATTAAGGGGGGCCATTGCAGCAGTCAGGATGTACCTCAGTGCAAAGGCCCAAGGTTCAACCCCCCCAGTATCAGGGGGAAAAAAACACATGACAACAAAGACGAGATCCATGTTTCTGTAGTCCCTGAAAGATTAATGAAAGCTAGTAGGTAACCAGTACAGAGTAAGAGGAATTTTTAAGCTTTTGTAAGTAATTAATAAACAGAACTTGGGCCAGGGATTTAGCTCAGTGGTTCCGGTGCCTGCTTCGCAAGCGGAAGGACCCAAGTTCGATCCCCAGTACCAAAAACAAAACAAAACAAAAAAACAAAAAAAACCCAGAACTTTAAAGTGCTACAAAGATGATCATCCCACAATGCTCCTCAAACTTTACCACCCCACAAGGTGTCTTCACTTCAAGCTAACCATACAAACTTGTGAAACCTTCCCTTTGAAGTACTGTGGACCCTTGACTTACGAACTCAATCAGCTCCCAAGGGCTGGTTGCAACTCCAGTTGGCTGTAAGTCAATATACCTGAGATCTGGATGTTTGCCTGGGTACACACTATCGATAACAAGACACAGATGAATCTTCCCTTAACCTAATTAACCCAAGTTGTTTTTATGTCAGACCGGTCATAACTTGAGGGTCCACTGTACTCCCCAGAGGAAGATAAAACATAGTCAGTGCCAAAGTTTCTATCCTTCAAATTAGAACAGTAACTACTGAGCTTCCAAATTAAACCTGAAACCTTGGGAATCTTCGGGTTAAATTTTGTAAAGAGATATGGGGAATAACAAATATCACTGAACTGAAATCAAACCCAATGGGAGAAACCACAGGGAAGAGGAAAACTAAGCAGAGATGAGAAAACGCAGCCAGCACACATGCAGTCCTTGAGCCCAGGCCTCCTGTACCCTACACTGGAACAGAGTGTGAACCCATAGCTAGGCTGACCATAGGCTATGGGGCCTGGGCCATGGGCTGTGGGCTGAGTCAGTCTTCAGTGGGAGTGGGTGGAACAAAGCACCCCCAGGCACAAGCAGCTTTCAGCTTCGTATCAATCTACAATGATAACTTTAGAAACACAGACAGCAAAGAGTCTGTCAACTTTCCCAAGCTGCCATTTAAATCCTCTGCTGTTCATCCCAGGCACAGTGGTACCTTCCCTGCACAAAGCAGGGCCACGTCTCCTCCACATTGCTTTTATACGCTCGACTCAAAAGTTTCTGCAATGAACTCTGTGATCAGAAATCCAAGAAACCAGGCCTGAAAACAAGTTGTCTATTCTATAACTTGATGAGACAACATTCCATCAATGAGGACAACACAAAGGTGAGCATCCACCTGTGTGCTCCCCCAGAAGACCCAGCACCTTCTGCTCTAACACCCAGCCTAGTGCTTACTGCTGAAGCTACACCCAGCACTTGAGTCTGCAGCAGCAGCCAATGTGTTCAAACACCTGTGTGGAATCAAAGCTGTGGCAAAAAGCTAATATCCATGGGATAAACAAGACTGTCGTCATCCTCTTGTCTCCCCAGATGACAGCACAAGACTTCTCTATCAAATGGCTCACCCTCTCCATACAGGAAAAATATCAAACTCCTGAACCCTATACATTGCTGTTATCTGCTCCCGGGGCTCATTCAGAAATGACAAAGCAAGTATTATGCCAGCACACATGGCACAGGCTTTCTGGTGCTGAAGCTCTAGACATGAAACTAATGCCCACTGCCTCTACATGTGGCATGGTTGCACACCTAATACCCACCTCATCCAGGGGTGTGGGCAGCCTCACACTGGGCTCCTTCTAATGTGACAAGTCGCCATTTACTGCTGTCTTTACTCAGATTGTTTTAACTACCTCAGTTAATGTTTACTATGTTGTTTTCTTTTTAAAGGGCCTATGAGATTTTTTTTTAATGCTTTTTACTTGTTTTTAGAAGCAATTCACCAGGTTCTTTCAAAGACCCCATGGTACCATGAGAAATTCCCATGGGCACCCACCTGATAGGAGTCAGGGAAGAGTTTTATCCTGCTTGTTCCTAAAACAGGGGCAAGGGTACAGGATAAAGGGGACTCGCAAATACAATCAGCATCCACTTTAATATTCTGTAAAATCCAGCTGAAATCCTAATAGCCAATGGTGATCATAAAAAATTTTAGAGATGAAAAAACAAAGAGCTTTATTTTTGCTGACTCCTTAATTATTCTGACTTTTACCATACATATTGTCCTTATGTGATCTTACATCAAATATTTTCAAGAAAACTAAACTTTTAAGAATGAAAATTTGTAAAACTGTTTCTTCCCTCCCCCACAGAAATGTTGTCATTCTAAATTGTTCAAAACAACTGCTAAATCATCATTTATAAATAAGCAAGTCTTCATATATTCTACATATAACTTACATTCAGCACACGCCTAAATGATAAAATGAAGCACTGATGAAGGGACACTAGAAGCCCAAGCACAAAATACACGACACAAGAAGACTGCAGATCCCACACCAGAAAGAATGCACCAACACATTCACATTTATTTTCTTCTTTTTTTTTAAGCAAATGACAAAGACCCAATTTACCAGCTTTTATACACCTAAGCTTAACATTACACATTTAAACATTGTCAAAACTTTACTAAGTTGCCAGCATCCATGCACAACTAGAAAACATCCTTAAATTTGTAATGAACCAGAATGTTATTACCATTAATGCATTAATATCTTTAATTACTAAATACTGAAAAAAATGGAAATTATTTCTGTGGAGGACTCATCCTGGCAAAGTTAGCTTCACAGCAGGCGGACACTACTTGGCTCACATTTCAAACACAATGGAAAGCAGATCCATGCTGGTGTTAAGAGTACAATCTTGTCCTAGCGCTACTCAAGAGTCAAGGCTTACCTTGGATCACGTTTAATAAAAAAGCAAAGTGCATACAGAGATTACAACAATTTTAAAGACAAAAAATGGTCCTACTGTGTGGTCCCAACAATAAACTCAAAAGTCTATGACAAAGAGGGGCTCCGATGAGCTGTTTATAAATACTTTAGATTAGGTACAGTTATACTGAAAGTTGAGTTCGTTTGAAATCTTCAAAAAAATGTTCCTGTTAATCCTCAAATGGTGCTTGTTATAGTTTAACATTTCTGTGAAATGCGTGCGTTGAATTACTTGTTATCCAAGCGTAGCAGCTGCTCCTTACCATTTATCGTTAAGGACTTTAACTGTCCATCTTCTTCAACTTCTACTCTTTCTTGACCATTCTCGACAATTCTGTAGGACAGAATTTGTTTAGAAACCTCCTTTATAAAGTAAATACATATTTAAACATGAGAATTTTACATAGATATATATGAATTCATGTGGGTATTTTAAAGCATGTTACTGCTTTTTAAAAAAGCTACCCTTGCCAGGGATTTAGCTCAGTGGTCCCCCTGCCTGCCTCCCAAGCACAAGGGCCTGAGTTCGATCCCTCCTACCAAAAGAAAAAAGCCACCCAGGGCCCAGGATTTAGCTCAGTGGTACCACACCTGCCTGCCTCACAAGTGAAAGGTCCTTAGTTCGATTCCTGGTACCAAAAAGAAAAAGGAAAAAAAACCCACCCTATTTATAAAATCTTTCTCAAAATAGATTCACTCTGACAAAAGTAAGTTTTGTCCTGGTGACTGCTAAATATATGCAGAGATACTATTTTTTTAGTCGGAAGCCCGGAGATTTAGCTCAGTGGCACTCCACCTGCCTTGCAAGTGGCAAAGTCCTGAGTTCAATACCCAGCACCAAAAAGAAAAAAAAGAGAAAACGTAGTTGGGGCCAGCAATATAGCTCAGTGGTAGAATGCCTGCATGGCACACACAAAGCCCTGGGTTTGATCTCCTTCCTGTACTGTAAATTTTAAAAGTAAAGATTTTACTATTAATGATTTTAAATTGTACCATTCCTATCAAAACTGCAGAAACTTATTATACAATTATTACATATTATAGATTATTTTTAATAAATTCACATTAAATATTTAAAAGGAGCTCACCACGCACAATGGCACAGGCCTGTAATCCCAGACACTCAGGAGGCAAGTTCAAGCCCAGTGAGAGCAATTTAGCAAGACCATGCCTCAAAAAAATTAAACAGGGGCCGGGGATTTAGCTCAGTGGTTCCACCGCCTGCCTCAAAAGCGCAAGGTTCCAGGTTCAATCCCCGGTACCACAAAAACAAAAACAAACAAACAAAAAAACAAAAAATAAATAAATAAAATAAATAAACAAACAAGGCTGGGGATGTAGCTCGGCAGCACACCACCTACCTGGCAAGTGCGAGGTCCTGAGTTCAATCCCCAGTTCAATCCCCAATATGTACGTATGTACATACATATGTACATACATACATACATACAAACAAACAAACAACAAAACAGCCAGGCATGGTGGTGCATGCCTGTAATCTCAGCACTCAGGAGGCTGAGGCAGGAGGATTGCCTCAAGTTTGAGGCCAGCCTGGGCTACATACTGAGTTCAAGACCCACCTGAACCATACAGTGAGACCTCGTCTCAAAAGGGGGGGGGGGGGTTCATTATATAGTGTTCACAAGCTTAGTTGCAAACAAATAAAATACTTAAGCTAAAATAAGGGGGGGATATAGCTCAGTGGTAGAGTGCTTGCACAGTATGTGCAAAGCTAAAGGTTCAATACACACACACACACACACACACACGCACGCACGCACACATGCACATACCCACACAGAGGCATACATGCCTGTAATCCTTGTACTCTGTGAGGCTGAGGCAGGCGGATCACTAGTTCAAGCCCAGCCTGGGCAACTCAGCCAGAACCTCTTTTTTATTGAAGAGAAAAGATGAAGCTCAGGGGTAGAGTACATGACTAGGATGCCCTAGGCCCAGGGTTTAATTCCAAGTCTCACACATACACACATACATAAACACACACACACACACACACACACACACACTCACAAACACACCTCTGCCTATTTAATTTAGAGCTTAAGCATATATAGATAGCTTATACTTCCACTCTGGGGGAATAGGCAAAGTTAATTATGTCATCAATAACACATCATGACTTATTAAATACAAAATATATAATAAATGCCACTGTACCTCTTTGTGGTGATTTTTCTACCATTAACAATTTTAGTAGAAGTTGATACAGATTTGAAGTTACCCATCCCACTGCCGCCAAATGATGTGGATGAAAATGAAGTGAGGCCACCATGACCTAGGGAGCCAAATGAAGTAAATCCTACAAGAAAACAGAAAGGAAGGATGACTGGCAGCCAATACATCAAGTTCCAAATGAAGTGGTGGTGGACCAGTTATCTGATGTAAGGAAGCTCAGGAGGGCAAGGCCTGAGGGGAAACGCTGCAGGACCCAGGGGAAAGGAAAGCAGCTGTCTCAAGAGCCACTGGCCATCTGTTCACAGGACACGGGCAACACTGAGCAGTGACTCTCCCCTGCCCCTCCACTGGGTGCCCTGCAAGACTCTTCTGACACTCCACGTGCTCAAGACCTTCTGGAGACCGGGCACCATGCATCCTGGACAGAGCAGGGAGCCAAGTGCATCTTTGTGTTACAGGAAAAGAGCAACACCACCACCATAGGCAGTAAGCCTTGCTGGCTCAGTTCGCAGGGGGAACAAAGAGGATAGAAACCAGAATTACCAAAAGACTAAGGTAATTTCCAGAAAGAATCCTGCAACTCATCATCTGAAAACACACGCTTTATGATCTACTTATATAATTTATATTTTCTTATGGCCTCACTAAAAATTAGAAAAAATTAGCAACTAAGATTAATGTTATATTTTTAGCTTTTTATCCACCACCACCACCAGGGATCGAACTCAGGACCTTGCGCTTGTAAGGCAGGCGCAGCACCACTGAGCTAAATCTCTGGCCCCTGTTATATTTATACTAAACTTTCTCTAAAATATCACCATTTTTTTTCATGGGATGTGACAAGCCTATTTGTTCTAGCTACCATTTCTTCTTTTAATTAGTACATATGAAGTAGATAATGTTTACATTCCTTATGGGGAACTGATACACATACATAAAAATCTTAATTCCTATTTTCACCCCCTTTCATTTCCCTCCCTCCTCTTCTCCATCAAGTCAAAATATTATCATTCTGAAAGACTCTGGAACCCAGTAAGTACTTCACACAAGTAGCTAATCTCCATCAGGACTGGCCACACAGCACAGACCCAGAGTGAGCCATGGCAATGAAAGCCTTTGTGGGGCTCCTCCAGGCAGAGACAGTTACACACATGCACATGCACATGTACTTCTCACATGAAGTACTATTTTCTTGGCATTTTTAGCTAGCTTCCTTGCATTCTCTCCTGACCTATGCTCAGCATGTCATATGCTATCTACTGCCAAGTGTCTGCTAAGAAAAGCACAACAAAATCTCCACCTAGCCAACAATTTACTTGGAATAAACTCAGCTGTACAAGTTCTATATTAAGAAGGGGGGGGGCGCGCGCCCGCGCACCCACTGGGGATTTAGCTCAGTGGTTCTGGCACCTGCCTCAAAGCCCAAGGTCCTGAGTTCGATCCCCAGTACCAAAAAAAAAAAAAAAAAAAAACCTATGCAGAGCCAGGGATTTGGCTTTGTAGTTTCACTATCTGCCGCGTATGTGCAAGGACCCGAGTTCGATCCCCGGTACCAAAAAAAAAGAACTAGAGGAACCTCAGGAGGGGGCAAGCCCAGTTTGCTTCTCCAGTACCACACCATATTGCCACAGTGTGTGCAATGGCTCTGGTTTACCATTCACTCTCTGCACACTAACACTGGGTGTGGTGCCCTTCAGGGGCCAGTATGGCTGCAGCCACGTACCCAGGCTATGACCCAAACTTCTAGTTCCATCGAGTTGGACACTTCCTATGACACTACCTGATTTTTCTGTCTAATTGCAAAGGTTAGATAACATGAAGGATCTAGTGAGACTGAGTAACATTCCACTTAAAATATATATTATTCTTTTTATCCAAGAATTTCATCAAATGTTGTCCTTCACTACTTAAGAGACTTTCTAAGCATAACACTCTTGGGAAGATTAATGGGGAAATGAAGGTTATTAAGCACCGATATGTACACACTGAAAAAATGCTAGTTCATCTACAAAGCTCCTGTATCAAAAAGAACATACATACTTAAAAGCTGCTGCAACCGGATATTCTAAATGTACTATTTCTGTCAAAGATTAAATCTAGGGGGCTGGGGATTTAGCTCAGTGGTTTCACCGCTTGCTGCGCAAGTGCAAGGACCCAAGTTCGATCCCTAGTATCAAAAAAAAAAAGATTAAATCTAAGGATTTCATACCTGTATCAAATGAAGAAAATCCACCTCCAAAGGATGGAAATCCACTGAAGGTAGAGAAAAAGGAGCCCGCACCACGGCTTCTGCTTCCTCGGGGACCCCTTCGGTTTCCAAAAAAGTCTTCAAATGGGTCTTCTAGAAACAAATAGAAACACAGAGAGTAAGAATCTTTATTCACATTTACTTTTTCCATGGGGGAAGGAAAATGGGTTAATGCTTTCCAACATACCATTCAGTCAAGAACAAACACCTTACCGACATGAAGTTACAATCAAGTAGAATATCTGGACCATCTCATTCAATACTCCTACTTACTGCTTTAACTCAACTAAAGCTATATATGCCAGCCCACGATTAAATGAAAGCACCATACATATAAGCATGAACCAAGATCACTGAGATGTACCTGAGAGCAGTTTTAACACTGCCTTTTGTTCTGTGTCCTATTAAGACACTGTCCTGCTGTCACCACTGGAAGAGGTGATGTCACACATAGTAGGTTGTCTTTCAGGGAGCCCCAGTGACCTCTTCATAGTAATTCGGAACTCAAAACACAGGATCACTCTAACACACCTGTCTAAGAGCATGCTAGCACAAAACAGCTGCAAAACCCAGCCACAGCATCCAGAATCTCTTTCATATTCCTGTAAGTTTGAAGCCTCAAAAAAAAATTTAGTCAAAGTGAAACGTGAACAACAAATACTAAGCGGCAGGCATAACAGATTATTATTAGAAATAACAAAATGCTCCTGGAAATAAAAGATTAGTAGACTTATTGAGGAATAGTTCACATTAAACATAATATTGCAATTTTTAAAACAGTACTGAAAGCCTAACTTTGTTGTTTATATCAATCAACAAGTACTTCACTGAAGATGTAAGATTTGTTTATACATACGTTCTATTTTTTTAATTTACCTGTTTCTTTGTAATTACTAAATGCTATGTTTTTTCCAGAACTCAAGGAATCTGTGAGGAATAACAACAGGGAATCCTAAAGGATACATTAGGACGTTAAGTGCATGCAGAAGAAAGAGAGAAGCCACCTAGAACACAGAATGACAAAATTAGTGCGGCACATTTATAAAACATAGGGCAAGACAGCAAAACGGGAACCAATGTGCCAAACCCAGAACATGATGGTGAGAACACAGCTGCAAACAGCAGAGCATGGCTCAAGACAGCAAAGTTCAGGAGCTCACCAGGCCCAGCAAGGCTGCACTCCAGGGCACAGCTACAGAGACCAGAGGGAGCTCCAGCTGGACAGGGTGCACTGCACCTTAGGTAGAACTGTGACAAGTTCCAAGAGCTTGTTCCAAGAGCTAGGCAAAGGCTGCATGAGAGGGCTGTGTATGCAGAGCCACACATGGGCATGCTCCACCCCCAGCCCCAACACAGATGTATGGAGGGAGGGATGGGACAACTGCTACAGTCTGCAAGAGGCTAAGCCCAAAACATTACTGATCCACAACTCAGTTCCCACATTCCACAGTTAAGGCCATTCTTTAGAGGAGTTCGTTTTTGGCAGGCCCTGTGGTGCGTGCCTGTAACACGAGCTACTCAGGAGGCTGAGATAGGACGTTCAAGCCCAGGCTAGCAACTTAACAAGACCCTGCTTCAAAATTTTGAAGTAAAAATGGCTGAAAGTTTAAATGGGGAGTAGGGGCCAGAGATACAGCTCAGTAGGAAGGTTCTAGGCTCAACCCCCAGTATCACAAAAAAAAAAAAGGTCATTTATGCCAGGCAGGGTGGTATGTGCCTATAATCCCTACCACTCAGGAGGTTGAGAAAGGAAGATCACAAGTTCAGACCTAGTCTGGGCAACTCAGCAAGACCCCATCTCAAAATCAAATGCTTTTTAAAAGAAGAAAAAGAATAAAAAAGGAGGGACAGGGATGTAGCTCACTGGTAGAACACTTACCTAGCATAACCAAGGCCCTGGTTCCATCTCCAGTTTTCATAGGGGGAAAAAGGAAATTCATTCATGAACTGCTATAAATAGATCTTACTGATCTGTTGTTCTAATAGAAGAAAGTAAAGTCAAGCCAAATCTATGAAGACTCCATTTCAAATAAAATCTGCACGGGCTGGGAATCTAGCTCAGTGGCACTGCACCTGCCTCTCAAGCAAAAGGTCCTGAGTTTGATCCCCGGTACCAAAAAAAAAACAAACAATAAAAAAAAACAAATAAAATCTGCACATTCCATTTTGTAACCACCTTTAAAACTGATTGCCACAGCTACACACCAACTGCGCCAATGAATTTTCCCATACGGCAGATCTATGACACGGGTAAGTAACTTTTAACTCTACTACCCAAATAAGAATCATAAACAGTTAAACCTTACTGTGTGCTAAGAGGAAACACTTAAACCCATCTACACAGCCAGCCTTACACTCTCCCCACACAGTACAATCCTAACCCAGACATTCTTTGGCACACTCATAAAACTATAATTACATGGAATCGTGGAAGTCAACAGTATCTTTCTACAATTTTCCCTTTATCACTGCTGTAAAACTGACTTCAGGACTGGGTGTGTAGCTCAGCAGTAGAGTGCCGAGTACGTGTAAGATTCTGGGTGAATCCAGAGAACTTTGCAAAACACGGTCGAAGAGGACAAATATAACTTTAATGTTTTAGAATAAACGTCAGTAAGATGTTTCAGCATGTTACCAGCACTGTTCTATCAACAGGGCGGGCGCAGGCACAGTGGAGGTGCTCAGCAACATAGCCTAGGTCAACAGTTGGAAGTCAGCAGAGGTGTACACACTCCCTCCTTCCTGCACATTCATGTGTGTGCATGAGTGATGCCCGTCCATGTGTTTGACCCAGCATCTATGTTTCCTCCTCCTGCCTCATATATGAGGTGCACTAGGCAATGGGGCATCAAAGAAGAAGGTGACTATGGATCAAGGACCTAGCCTCCAGTGGGAAGGGTCAGGTGAACTCAGGTAGACAGAGTCAGGGGCAGGAGGGACAGGACTGTGGAAAATTTCATGTGTTGACCTCCCTGGGACATGGGATGCCCCAATTTTCATCCAGCATGGTTCTGGGTGTTTCCAGATAAAGGTAACATTGGAATCAGTAGTCCCCGTCACGCAGATCACTCTGAATTTAAATCCACATGAAGACCTGAAGAGCACCTAAGACTGAATCCACCTCCAATACTCCAGAGCACACCAGCACTGGCAGTTTCCCTGCTGGCTCTGTAAGCTGCCTAAGTGTTCAGTCTAAGCCTCATCATAAATGACAGGAGTCCCTTGGCTCTGTTTCCCTAGAGAACTCTAACCAACTCAGATGCTTTCACAATATCTTTAGGCCAGCCAGTCTTAATTCAGCTCCGGATCCTGACATACAAACACTACTTGAAATAGATGTCTCTATTATCATATAACTCTTTCATTCCAATGCTGCAGTCAAACCCACCATTCTCTCAGAAGTACTAAACCCTGTCCATAATATTAGCAGCTACTAAAGTAACTGACAAGTAATACCAAACTTATAGTCAAAAAAGTACACTGATTCATGTGAAGAAAGAGCATAAAACACACACACCACTGACACAGGTGCAAACACACAAAACGCCCCATGGAAGAAAACTGAGGATGTGGGAAAGGTGGTAAAGTCCACACATCTTCTTAGAGCCTGACAGAACTGCAACAGCATACAGTGGAGAGATAGTGACTGAAACCAGATGCTTTAATCTAGTGCCAACAGGGACAAAAGGGAAAGGCAAGCACTTCAATGCCACAGCTCATATTGTGCACACAAAACCCACCAGGTGTGAGAGGACAGCACAGTGATTTGCCCCCTTCCCTGTGGTACCAGATAATTAAAGCCCAAGTATACAGGAAAAGCTGGGACAAAAAGGGACAACAAAACAAACCCACAACAACCCTAGAATGCATGCCAGCTATTTCGAATGCAGGTAAGCAATTTGCTCGACACCACCAGCGACTCTCAGCAAGAACAAATCCCACAGGCTGCTATGTCAGGCAAGACCACTGCCATCTACAAAGGATCCCAATGTCAGAGCAGAGCCAAAGACACTCATTTATACAACTCCAGTGTCCTACATAGAAGCCCACACATTCAGAACAAAGTAGTGACATATTAGGTAGGAATCTGAAATAAAAAGAAACAGGAACCCAAGAAAAACAGCCACTGACCCCACTGTGCTGCAAGCCTGCAGACAAGGTGGTTCTCTACACCTTGGATCAGCACCTAGAATAGAGTCTGGCACCAAGTTACAGGGCATGAATCACATTCATTAAATCAACACTACCATTTTCAACTTCCACAATAGGTCCAGCAAGTACTGTATCTTCCAAGAATTAGAAAAATCCATCCACATAAGAGGATACAAAATACGCTGGACTAAACTATTCTACTTCGAAAACCATGAGGCATGGTTTTAGAAGACGAGCCCTGGAGACAGGTAAGAATGCACTTCTGTGCAGCTACAGGACCCACTTCCTCCCAGAAGGACCTTGCTAAGGAAGTAGTGGTTCTGTCAAGCATCCTTTCTGCTCCTGCTCTAAGACGACAATTTTTTCTTCCCATTACCCCATCTTCTGCCCCACTTCCTGTTCCCTTGAACAATGTGCCATGCCTATTCACCTCCCCAGGATGGACTATTCCCCCCAAGATTTAAACCATTCTTCCTACACCAAGATGCCTTCTGTGTGCTTGTACGGATGCAGCTCTCTCAACCTGTGAGCTGTCCACAGGACAGAGTGACTATCACACAAACAACATTTAATGCCTATGACCCAAACACTTGGAAAGGTACTGCCATCCTCTTGGAGGAGAGAGGGTTAAACAGGAAATGTCACAGAACTTTGGCTGGTGGCCTGATCTCAGAAAGTGCACACAAAGCCTTATTCTGTGCCTTTAAGGTATGGCCAGTCCAGGTCCTCGAGGCAGATAACACAGTCCTCAGAATGACTCCCCAAGAGGCCATGACCTGGGGGGGGGGGGGGGTAGAGGCAAGGATGTGGGTACTGCAGCAGCACCTATTCTAATGTTAAGTGAAATCTGCCCCAGACCTCAGAGCATCAACTCTCAACTGTGCAGATGGCCAGGCTGCAACATGGTGCATTTGCCCAGGGTAGCCCAGCGGGAAAGTGGGCCCATCCCTCAAGAGAGAACAAGCAGAGATGCCCTGTGGAAATGGCTCACTGCTGAGCTGAATAACTGAGGACACTGGCTACCAACACAGAACCTAGCAGCACCATCTGATGACAGTGCAGGACACAGTCACAAATCCACATGCAGGATTAAAAACCAATCTGCTCTGCCTCTGTCTCTGCATTGTACACATTTTCCAATTTATAACCCATCTTAACAAAAACAAAAGGGATAGGAGGTTATTATCAGCTGAACTGTGGCCTTCCCAAAAAAGATGCTTGAAGTCCTAACCCTGGGTGCCTGTGAAGGTCGTCTTATACAGAAATAAGGTCTTTGCAGATGATCAAGTTAAGACAAAGTCACTAGTGTGGTCTCTAAATTTGTAATCATCACTCACTGCCCCTATGTCAAGAGGGGAGCGGACACAGGTATGCAGAGAGGGGAAACTATGTACAAACATAGGGAAAGACATCTGCAAGCCAAGGTCCACCTAAAGCCACCAGCGCAGGATGGCTGATTTTTCCTTGGCCTCAGAAGGAATGGGCCCTGCCAACACCAAGTCCCAGGCTGCCAGCCTCCAGCACTGGGAGCAGCTCAGTTTCTGCTGAAACTCCTGCTGCTGAAGACCAGCCTTCCTAGGTGGAGATGGCCAGGAGACAGCAGATCTAGTCCCTCAGGGCCCCACCACTTCTCAGGTCCACCAGTCCTATCTCCAAAGCAGCTCAGGTTATCTGACCAAGTACAGTATTGAGGCATCAGACCAAGTTTTTTGTTCTAGATAAACTTTATAAATAGACTAAATCTCTTTATAAAACAGAGGCCTGGGGCAATTCTTGTACAATTTATTCTTGCCTCAGCCTCCCAAGTGCTGGGATTACAGGCATGTGCCACCACACCTGGCTTACAATTTATTCTTGAATCAGCAGCACCTCTGGTGCTGGCTCTGGCTCCAGCCCGCAGAGCTCCTCACAGAGCTCCTCCTCACTCAGCAGTGATGTGTACTCCTCACTGAGCTCCTCCTCTGCATCCCAGGGGCTAGCTTCCTCCTCACTGGATACGGGGTCCAGCTCCTCATTGAGAAGCTCACCCTGGCCCCAGCTACAGCTTTCATTCAGCTTGTCACTAAAGAGATCCAGCTCCTCACTGGAGATCACATCCAAAACCTCACTGCTCTCTTCGCTCAGGGTGTCTTCTCCTGTTTCCTCATGAGAGGGCTGGTCTAGATCTTCACTAGGCTCCAAATCCTCACTGGACACTTCCTTGAATCCTGGGGAGTAAAATGACTGGCTCACTACCTTAAACTGAGACCTCAGCTCAGAAAAGAGGTTATTTTCACCCTCCTCACAATTAATTTACATGCCCTCCAAGGTCTGCTTTCTTGGGTTCCACAAACCATGCATTTCTCCACTACTGCCTTGCAAGATTGTCCATGAAGGGAAAATGCCAAAGTGCAAAATGAAAAATCTCCCCAAGAAATGGATTTCAGGATCAATTTTGGCTTTCTGAAATGCAAATATAAATAAAATACTAAGTTATACCTCATCCTCGCAGAAGATAGTTCCTGCCCTGACTACTGAGATCCAAAGGTAGTGCTACTGAATCTTTTCCTGAGAACGCGAGACACTAGGATGACAAATGAGGAAATGCCCCACCTAATCCAGTTTAGCTTATTCCTGCTTCATTCGGTGAGGGCTTATCTGCATGCGCTCCACATTATGAGAAGGATTTAAATATAGCCACCTGGCCTGGCACATTCTGAGAACAGCCTGCAGACGCTGCCTCTACTTGCTTTGCTGGGAGAAGTACTCCCATTGATACTGAGACTGGCTTAGCTCCATAGGACGCCAGGACACAACAAGCCCCACTTTTCAGTTTTCTGGCACTGAGGTTCACCGAACCCCAAAAGGGGATGCAGGGAGGCTTGTTCCACAAGGAGCTCTATATTCTGCAAAATGCAAAGTGGAGCTCAAAAACATCTTACAACAGACTTTGGGGGGTTGGTTTCTGAGGCCTTGCTAAGTTGCCCAGGACGGCATCAAACTCATCTTTATCCTGCCTCTCAGCCTCCCCACGTAGCTGGGAATAGAGGCTCATACTACTGTACCCAGCTATCTTACTTACAATGGATTCTAAGCTACTTCTTTGACAGTCAAACCAGGAGAGAAGGAAAAAATTGTGTGAAAAATTAAGGTTGAAACTAATGTGCTATATAATACAGGGACAACATAACTGGCCTATGTACATAACCTGGATGCTAAGCCCCATCCCTGCATGCCACACTCTACACTACACATACCGCCAGTGGGCTGCAGTGACTTCGTACATGCAGAAACTGTTGAGCACTTCTGTTTCCTTTCCTGTATATAAATCCTTACAGCCTGAAAACGGAAGTCCCTTAGAACACCTACAAGAATGGATGGAAAATCGCCACTGCCACACTCACCACAAAGGTAGGAATGCCTGCTATGAGGTCTGAGCAGCCCAAGAGCAGCTTCAGTGAGCCTGGCATTGGACTACAGCAAAAACTCAACTCACTCACACCTAACTTTAAGTCAATGCATTTTTTTTTTTGGTACCGGGGATTGAATTCGGGTCCTTGCGCTTGAGCAGCAGGCAGCGAAACCACTGAGCTAAATCCCCAGCCCCAAGTCAATACATTCTTTACAAAGAAATGCTCAAGGAAAAGCACTGTTAATGGAAAGGCTTATCATGTGAGACAAAGCATGTTTAAGAAAGAGCCCAGCTGCTCGCACATGAAGATCACTGACCTCTTCACTCCTGTGCACCCCAGAACTGAAGCCTAAGGTACCAGAAGGGCAGGCCTCTTGGCCACCAGCAGACCCAGAATTCCAACTCCAGCCCTGCCCCATCCACAAATCAGCCACCATGGAGTCTGCTAAAGACTATAATAAAGATTATAATGCAAAGGTCTATCACATTACGGACCGAAAAAGTCAGCAAAGTGTTTAAGTAATAATTTCTGGTCAATGAAGGTCAAATAATAAAGAATATAATTGTATTTCTACTTTATATATTACAAGTTAAGTATCCCTCAACAGAAAATGCTTGGGAACAGAATCGTTTCAGATTTGGGATATTTTTTCAGATGCTGGAGTATCTGCATAAAAATTTATTGGGTGAACATTATTAATTCAAAAATCAAAGTTGCTCCAAAATCTCAAACCTTCTAAGAGTCCCTCCTGCCAGCCCACACTATGTTTATGGCAACTACGAGAGGACCACAGAGTCTCCCCAATTCTCCCTAATCTGACCACACTCCTGCTTCGCATCAGTGCTTCCAAGCCAGTGAACTTGCCACCATGCACTCACCACTGATTCCCCCTCAGAAGGCCCACTCAAGGTCAGGTCAGGAATCAGAGTGAACCAGGTGTTGTGGCACACACCGGTAATCCCAGCACTTGGGAGGCTGAGGCAGGAGGACTGCCATAAGTTCGAGCCCCATCTGAACTACACAGCCAGATCTTATCTAAAAAAAAAAGAAAACAATAAAAATAATGAAAATCTCCAGGAATCCCCATCTGAGATCAATTGAAAATTGAAGGCCTGAACCGCCTTTTAGGCCCAAGACCTACCAGGGCAGTGGCAAATTGCTTCTCTTCATGCCCATGGCAGGTAGGGTATGCCATGGGTCTCCTCTGTCCTGTTGTCACAGGTGAACACAACTGCTCTTCTCTTTTCCCTCCTGGGGTTTGCCCATGTTATTCAGACTCTTCAACCATACTCCAGGCAATGAAGGAGGCAAACACAATGTGTTCCCCTTCGATGTACATGAGACAAAAGTGACAGTGACAGCACACTCAACCCTGATCTCTCAAGTCACCAAGAGCACATGAGAGTCCCAAGCAATCAGAGGAAATCCTAACAGCAGAGACACAAGAGCACCTAGCACACTGCCTGTGTCCAAGACACGGATGCCCAGGGTCGGGCATCATGACTGAAAGGAGATAAGAACACCTACATTCACAGTCCAACAGCTGTGAACCAAAGAAACTCTTCTCTTCTGCTGCCTGGCACCACAACTGCTGTGGCTTCAGCTGTCACAACACAATTAAAAAAGAAAGGCTGGTAGGTCACAAGTCTTCTAAATAGCATCTATGACATTTAATGATTTTAACAAGATGACCCCATGGAAAATTCACACAGAAAATGGTGTTCCAGAGCAGGGCTGGGGATGGAGCTCAGTAGTACAGCATCTGCTCAGTCCACACAAGGTCCTGGGTTCCATCAGCATCACCCACATCTTCATGCCACTCTGACAAAGTAAAGCCAAGCTAATAGAACCACAGAGTCAAGAGAAAGAACACATTAAAACCTTCATTATCTTAATGTGCATCCCATACATTCAAACGTCTTAGAAAAAGAAGGCAGGAAAGGTCTGACCACTTCTGTGCTGCTTAAAATCAAAGGTTACTTACCAAACACAATATAAAACAGGAAGTGCACCACTGGGCTTCACAAGCCACAGACACAACACACACACCAAGGGATCCACTTACCGAAGAAGTCGAATGAAAATGGGTCCCTTCCACCAAAAAATTCCCTGAAGACATCATTTGGGTTCCGGAATGTGAAACCAAACTCAAATGGACTGTCAAAGTGACTTCCACCTACATAAACACAGGATGAAGGTTCGTTTATGAATTCTGGTCTCTTATGATCTGTCTATAAAATACTATACACATAATGATCTAAAAAGAGAACACACATCTATCTGGGGTTCTCTGTGACTCAAAATGAGCCCCACACTGATGAAAACTATCTGTGCATAGGGGGCTCAGCACTCAGCAGAGGTTCAAGCTGGGTTCTCTTCATTACTACTTCTCACTATTTCCAAATCTCTAGTCAGCACAGATAACATACATTTTCAATGCTTGTTGTGAAGGCTTATGGAAACCCAGAGTATATTTACACAACTTCCCCACAACTGCAACATGACCACATGGGTTCAGAGCAAGACTCTGAGGCATCCATGCTAAAGGTGCATGGTACAACAGCTGATCACCATGGGGACTTTCCATGACACACACATTATTTAGAGTCTGCCCTTTAAACCCAAAGGACATACTGAGTAAACTGATTGGTGATCTAAGAGCGTAAGCTCAGAATATGACAGTACAGTGAGGATATTGTATCACATCCATAGCAGGTACATCGATAAATACTTCCTACTAACAAGATTCTGTTTTTTGGTTTGTTTTGTTTTGGGGTTGAGACAGAGTCTAAATAAGTAGCTCATGTTGGCATTACAGGAATACACCACCACACCAAGCTTAACAAAGTTTTAATAGTTACGAAGAATTCTGGTTGTTTTGGGGTGGTCTATTATTGCTGTTTGTTTCATTTTCTTTTTTATACTACTGATTGAACCAGCATATCCACAATGAGCTACATCCCCAATCTTTTATTAATTTCTTATTTTGAGACAGAGTCTTAGTACACTGCCCAGGCTGGACTCAAAGTTCTCGTCTTTCTGCCTCTGCCTCCCAGAATATTGAGATTATGGCTGTGCACCAAGCCCAGCTTTTTAATAGACTGTTTAAAAGTGATATCAATTTCTCCACCCTCTACCCAATTCACCCCACTTTTTAGGCTGTACCTGTATTTATTACCATATATATTAACTAAGAGATTCAGTAATTTACAATTCAGAAACAACTCAATAAATTCAGATGACTCTGTCAAGACCTTGTGTCTCCAAGGAGAAAATTGATTCACATACCTCCTCCACCACCATTTAATCCTTCTTTGCCGTATTTGTCATAAATGTCCCGTTTCTTAGCTTTAAATTTGGGAAAAAAAAAAAATTAGAGATATGTTCTTTTCAAATTCTCAGAATTCAATTCATAAGGTGCTTCCCAAGGTATAAATCAGGGTTCAACTTCTCACAAATTTCACGGAGTTAGGCTGCCCTTGTTTGTTTTTGGGGGGTTTTTTGGGTTTGTTTTTTTTGGTACTGGGGATCAAACTTGGGACCTTGCGCTTGTAAGGCAGGTGATGGAACCACTGAGCTAAATCCTCAGCCCAGGTTGCCCTTACTTTAAAAAAAACACCAACAGAAGGGAAACCTTACATACCTGTCTCCCAAAAGGTGATTCAGAGAGCTTTTAAAATCTGATCAATCTTTAAGAATTATAAATATTAAAATAATTATTCCATTAGATCATTTTTCTTACTGTCCAGAACCCCTGCATCCATTAAAAAATTACATAACCAAGTATGAAATCATTCACACCCTAGAAGTGAACCTTACTACAAAGTCCTGAGTCGTGTGGAAACTGAAAAGGAGACAGCCCAGGCCTTCAGGCCAGCAGCTCTGGGGAACAATGTGGCTGTCCTCTGCCAGTCCTGCTGCACTTTATACTCTAAGACGAGGACAGCAAAGCACAGCTTGGCAGCACCTGCCTGTGCTTTTAGTATACCACCACCTCTGTCCCCCGCAAAAAAAGATCTTATTCCATAAACAAGAGGCTTTAAAACCAGCTAGTTTTAGGTACAGAGCCCTAATAACAACATAACGCTACATTTAAAAGACAACTCCAGAAACTAAAGATATTTATAGCTAAATGGATGCACATTGAGGCCATACTCCTAAGTGAAATAAATAGGACACACATGTGTAAATACCAAATAGTTTCTCTGGTGTGAAAAACTAAAAGTGTAAATAATGTTCAAATGCTATAACTGATAATGTGAAATAGGAAGAAAAGGTCTAAAGGAGTGGGGAAAGGGGAAAGGATAGGGGAAAAGAAAAAATATGATAAAAGAAAAAAATGGAAAGAATGTCTCTGTAAATAGGGGAGGGTGTAGGCAGTGAAGAGAGGGCAGGGAAATGGGAAAAAAATAAGAACCAAAATACATCATGTAAAGGTACAAGATCCCAATGATGAATGTAACTGTACTGTGTACCTAAAATGTACCAATAAACTTAATGAAAAAAAAAAAAAAAAAAGATAACTCCAGCCTAAGGATATGTGAAAAATAACACTCTCCCCCCAAAAATCAGACCAGACCTTTCATGGTCATTTAAAGGTTCTCTTCCTGAAAGACATAAAGTGTCAGTCTAGGGAGGGGGAAAAATAGGGAAAGGGGAAGTAAAAGGAATCATCAACATGTGTTACGTGCATGTACCAACTCCTCAAAGTAATAAATGTAATCATTATGCATTGCTAACATGTACTAATAAAAATAATGGGCCGGGGATTTAGCTCAGTGGTTCCATCGCCTGCTTCACAAGCACAAGGTCCCAAGTTCGATCCCCAGTACCAAAAAACAAAAATAGTATCCATCCATGAAATCCCTAAGTCTGAGAATGAAGAACCAGTACACTTTCTACCAGGCAGGGTTCCTAAAATCTCCAACACCATTCCCCTCAAAGTCCTACCCGCTGTTTTAAGACTATAAATGCATAAAGATTTCAGTATCAATGCTTTACATGTTTTCACAAATAAGAATGTCATGAAATCAGATATTCAGGATTCCCTTTAGGACACCAGGGGACAGAGGTATATGGGGTCACCACAGTTAGTAGCACAAGGGTATCATATGTTGGTCACTGGTGAGGCTGAGTGACAGTTCACTAACTTCTCCTAAAAATTGGTTTTTATCTATCAGGCAGACAGACTTGCTGTAGTCAGTGACTCAGTGCCACCATTCCTGGTACCTTTGCCGTGACTCACACCATCCATCGTCCACTGTAGCCCCTGAGCCTAAGCAGTAGTTTTCCTGCCTATGGCACCGTTCCCACCTGGCCCATGCAATCTTTTCTGCACTATGAAATCGCTATTCATGGCATGTTCTAAAGTCTAATTCTGAGCTGTATGTTCAATTCCTTTTTCTCTAAACAGTAAAGTCCTTTCAAGTAGTAAAACTCACTCCATGAACCAGGTGCTGTTCCAGGCAGAACCTCAGCATGAAAGAGGTCACAACCAAGAGACATTATCAGAGCAGCAGCAACAGGGGCATCCTGACAAATAGTCTGGCAACTCAGCCTAACCCTAACCTTAACCCTCAGCTCCTCAGATCCAGGGTACTATGTGCTATTTTGAAACAGTCATCGTTGGAGAACCTGAGGAAGCCAAACACTCCTCAGGACTCACGAGTAACTCTCCAGCTCCAATCTCCATGGCCCTCTAGTCCAGCTGGAAACACAGCGAGTCCCATGTACCCACGCGCTGCCCATCCCTGCCCATCCCTGCACACCAACTCACCCACCACTCAGCCAGCCATGTGCAAGCCCAGTGCGTGCCACTTACCATCTGATAACACCTCATATGCCTCAGCCACTTGTTTGAATTTTCCCTCTGCTTCTTCTTTATCCTCAGGATTTTTATCTGGATGCCACTTTAGTGCCAGTTTCCGGTATCTTGAAAGACCAAAGAGTGTATCAGTCACAGCCAAAGCCCAAAAGCCAAAGTGCTTTTAAAACTAATGTGGTTAGCGAGAAAATGGTTTCAGAGCTGCCATCTGGTGGAATTAAGACTAGTTTTAGCTAGACAGTTCCCCTTATCCTGAGAATGAAGTAAGAGTTCAATATCCAGACACTAATACAATCTGACTCCCAAAACTAGGTATATTTGTGAGCCCAAATGTCCACAACACAGGCCCACGATCACTGGCAAACCCACACAAAAACTGTATTTGGGGGAGGGGTCTATGTAGAAGTGGCCTTGGTCAGCAGGCAGTAAAAATCCGGCATATCACCCTTATCTATGTTGTCCCTATCGCCTCAGCCAGCCTGGCAGATCACTGGGACAAAGGTGAGTCACCTACCGCAACACAGACCAGGATGCCAGGATCCTGCCAGGAGCCACCTGCTCTGGAATCATTGTAGAAATGGCGTTTATAATTACTGGATTTGAGGATAGGGAGTACAGCTCAACAGTAGAGCATGTGCTAGCATGTGAGGCCCAGAGCTGGGTTCCAGCACCAAAGAAGGAGGGAACAAGCCTCTAGCTGGTCAGCAAAGCATAAACTGCACACATTTAAAAGACAGTATGCTGGGCCAGGCAAACTCCTATAATCCCAGCTACTGTATGTGAGCGGTTGACGCCTGCAAACTGAAGGCCAGCCTGCGTGACTCAGTGACACCTTGACTCAAAATAAATAATACAAAGGGCCAAGGACATGGCTCAGTAGATCAGCTGGGTTCCATCCCTATTATGGAAAAAATAAGTAAAAGAAGGGAAGAAAAGGCCCGGGGATTTAGCTCAGTGGTTTCACTGCCTGCTGGGCAAGCGCAAGGACCCGAGTTCGATCCCCGGTACCAAAAACAAACAAACAAAAAAAAAAAAAAAAAAAAACAAGAAGAAGGGAAGAATGCATCCCTCAAAATCTAAAACTACAATAGGAACCTCACCAATCATTCAGTGTTCATGTGAAAACTAACTAACCTATGAGAATCTACAAGATTCAAGTCTCGCTGTTCCTGGTCATACATCACTGAAGTTTTTTTTAAAAAAACCAAGGTGGGCCAGGGATTTAGCTCAGTGGTTCCATTGCTTGCCTCGCAAGCGCAAGGACCTGCGTTCCATGCCTGGTACCAAAAAATAAAAAATAAAAAAAATAAAAAACCAAGGTGTAGGGCCGGGGATTTAGCTCAGTGGTTCAGGCGCCTGCCTTGCAAACGCAAGGTCCTGAGTTCGATCCCTGGTACCAAAAAAACAACAAAAAAAACCAAGGTGTAGGGGCTAGGAGTGCAGTTCAGTCACAGACAGCACTTGCCTACCAGGTATAAGGCGCAGGGTCTGGTCCCCCACAACACAGGAAAAACAAAACAAAACAGAACCAAAATATAATCCAAAGTTTAAGAGAGAAGTAAAAACTGTAGCAAACTATTTCCAAAGCTAGCCTCCAGACCTGTCTCACCTGCACAGCAGCACTTCGCTGGCCCTTAGCATATGATGGAAACTGGAGAGGAATCTAAGTGCCTCAGAAGACCAGAGGTGAGGTGGCAGTCACACATCCTAGCCTTCATGGGGCCAGCACACACAACAAAGCCAGAAGCCCATGAGGCAGCAGTTCTTACAATACACACCACCACACAGCTAGCATTCTGCTCAGCTGGAAAGTCAGTATTTACCAAGTGAGGAAATCTTGCTGCTTTTAAAGGTAAAGGCCTTTGATAAATTCATACTTACAAGTCATCCTGGAGACACCAACCCTAAGTAAAAGCAATCTACTCTACCTCCAGCACAACCGAAGGCTCAAATTCTATCAGTAAAAACAAAGACTTTGCACATTCTACACTTATTCATTAACAATGAAACACTTAGAAATGTCTCTTTGGTCCAAATTCTACTAAGTAATGCTGGCTGTTAACTGACCAGTTAAAAAACAGTGCAGCCAGGGATTTAGCTCAGTGGTTCTGCCGCCTGCCTCGCAAGCACAAGGACCCAAGTTCAATCACTGGTACCAAAAAAGAAAACAGTGCAGAGGGCCGGAGATACAACTCAATGGCACAGCACCTGCCTGGCAAGCTCGAGGCCCTGAGTTTGATTCCCAGTACCAAAAAAAGAAGAACAGGGCCGGGGATTTAGCTCAGTGGTTCTGGCACCTGCCTCGCAAGCGAAAGGTCCCGAGTTCAATCCCTGGTACCAAAAAAAAAAAAGAAGAAGAACAATGCAGACCTGAATCAAGTGCCAAAAGTCACACACCGGATTAGATAAACCATACACACACACTAGATTAGATAAACCATACACATACACCTGATGGTCTCCCCAGTGGGCCATGCCTATGGTCTCTTCGCTGAGGTTTGAAATGGGAATATTCTGCAGGCAACTCTACCCAACACATCCATCACTTCATCACTCTTAGCTTTTAAAAAAAAAAAAAAAGTACTGCTAGGGATTGAACGCAGGGTCCTGGGCACACTAAGCACACTTTATCATTCCAGCCCTAACTCAACAAACTTCCAGCCTACACAGTGGAGCATACCTATAATTCCAACTACTTAGGAGGATCACGAGTTCAAGCACATCCTGGGCAATTTAGCAAGATGCTATCTTTAAATACAAGGAAAAAGGGCTGAAGATATAGCTTAGTGCAAAGACCCTGGGTTCAATCCCCAGGTTCATCCCCTTCCACAAAACAAAAAAACAAACACTTGTTTGCACAGAAATGTAGATTTCATTATTTCACAATTTTAAAGAGTAATTTCAATAACCTTAAGCTTACCCCTCGCTCTATAAAATCTCATTCATAGGTAAGGCCTAAATGAGTTGCATCCATCCAGCTAGCCTTCAGAGCCACCTGTGTTGGGTCTACACAGACAGTGGATTAGTTCTCAATTGTCAGGATGGACAGCATGATCTAAGACATAGGCTTGGGTCTGGCCATCCCAAGCGGCCCCACCCTGAAAGAGGGTGCTTAAGAGCACCAAGGCAACCCAACCTCCAAGTCCAATGGACAGGGCACTCTGGAATTATTCCATACTCTCCATAAATTTTTTTTTTGTTTTTTGCTTTGTTTTGTTTTATACAAAGTCTCATTATATAGTTCAGGCTGGACTTAAACTCACTATGCATTCCAGGCTAGCCTCAAATTCACAACAATCGTCTGCCTCAGCCTCCCAAGTTCTCCATGAGTTTTTGATCTGCCTCAAGCAGAAAAGGAGTCCAGGACCAAGGCACAGGAAACAGGTGACCCTGCCCTACTGGCAAGATAAGGGCTAGGCTAGACCCAGATGTGACATACACATCCACTGCTGTCTAAAGTTACTATTAATTAATTAAACTACATGGTGCTGATAGACAGTAAACCACCATGACAGATGCAATCTTCAGACTGCTCTGCAGCTCGGTGGTAGAACACTTGCCCAAACAAGTGAGGCCCTTGGCTCCAACCCAGCACTGCCAAATAAGCACCAGGGGGCTCTAACAGATAACAGAAAAAGGTGTGCCACCCAGTCACCAGTGTGCAACTAACTGTAGGCATACAGTACTTACGCTTTCTTGATGTCCTCGGGGGAGGCATGTCTCTGCACGCCTAGAACTTCATAGTAATCCACCATGTTTTAAAAGTTTCCCGGAACAAGTCCTGCAAATACAAATGTGTGGTCAATGACAAGGCTGCCACAGCTGGGTGGGACACCAGGTGAGAGCTGGGTAGGAGGGAAGGGTTCAGCTCTGCACATACTGGCCACAGAGGGAACTTCCATAGCCTGCCACCAGCCTGTCAGGCAGGGCCTGTTCTGAGCCTGGTTCCAAGACTCATGCCCAGAGACCGCAGACATGGGAAAATACTCTGGAATAGCCTAATACTAACCTAAACCAAATAACCAAGAAGGTGACTGAGTGCTAAGGCAGAGTCCAGGTGGCCATCTGACAGGAACTGACAAACTTGCTGCATGTATCCTAGACACCAGCGCACCTGGAAGCTTTAGTTACCTCCCTCCCTTCATGTGATCCTGTGCCAGGTGTTAGGCAAGGCTATGGAGCTCCAAGGACAAGAACACTGTCCCTATCTAAGAAACCCCCCACAAACACCTCACTCACTCTATCAGAGGATTGCAAAAGCCCTCCCATACTCTCCCAAGAGAGAAAAAGGAAAGGCCCTGGACTTCAGTGATTGGTGTAACTTTACCATCAGGCGCCCCATCTTCCACACCACACCGCCCTGTGGCCGACTCTGACTGACCAAATCATTGCACTTGAAGCCTTCAGGATGGAGGAAACTAGCAGCAGAGAGCCTTGCTTCACCTGCTCATTCACCCAACAGCAGGAGGGAAAGCCACTCTGCTCCTGCCACATCTGCGACCGTTGGAGCTCTGGAATCACACAGGGCTGCAACGTGTACTGCCTCTTCAAAACAGGACATTTCCTAACCAATTTTGTTTCTTTAAAGCTGACTGCCTAAACCACTTCTTTAAACCAACTACACAGGGCTGAGGATCCACCTCAGTAACAGAGCAGCTGCCCTTTAAATAAAAGGATGGGGGGCGGGGACGGTGTGTGAAGGGCTTGGGACAAAACAATTGCAGCTGAAAGATACCATCGCCCCATAAAGCCAGTCCTTTTCCTGAGCTACTCTGCCCAAAACTGAAGCAGGGCTTTTAGTAGCCCTCACAAAAACCAGTTTTGAAGAGTTTCAAAAGAAATATTCTGACTGTGAGCAAATACCATACATGAAAATAACCTTCCTAAAGCCAGGTTGCTGAGGCTAAACAATGTCAAGGTTAAATAAAGCCCTATGAGCTACTCCATTTCTCAAAACAAGAGACAGAGGGGCTAACGGCATGGCTTAATGATACAGTGCGTCTGGTATTCAACTCCCACAGCCAACAACAAAAAGATGTGGTTTTACTATATACATTTAAGTATATACATACATATTTATATGCCTATACTATATCAGGACTCTGATATTGGTACAGGATTTTGTACACATCCTCTTGTGCAACTATTGGGCAAGACTCTGGGTTTTCAGGCTGGGACTTGCTTTTCAAGCACAGGAAACCAGGAACTGCAACTAAAATCCCTACAGGAACTACAGCTCCTCCAAGGGCTATAACTCTAAGGAAGGGAAACAACAAAAGTTCCTCCCACTTAACTACAGAGAAGAAAGAAAAGGACCTCTGAGAACATGAGGTCCTGAAAACTTCATACATGAAGAATGGAACCTTGCCATTACCTTTTAAAACTATCCCAGAGTCAGCTGGGCATGGTGGTACAGCCTGCAATCCCAGCACTCTGGGATCTGGGAGGCTGAGGTAGGAAGATCACAAGTTTGAGTCCAGTCTGGAAACTTAGCAATTTAGGAAGACCCTGTCTCAAAAAGTAAAAAGGAGAGCCAGGGATTGAGCTCAGTGGTACAGCACCTGCCTCACAAGTGTATGCACTTGTGAGGTCCTAAGTTCAATCCCCGGAACCACCAAAAAAAAAAAAAAAAAAATGATAAAAGCAGAAGCTAAATATGTAATAAAAGAGACCAACAAAACTAAAGCTTTAGCCAGGGATTTAGCTCAGTGGTTCCGGCGCCTGCCACACAAGCGCAAGGTCCCGAGTTCGATCCCAGGTCCTCCCCCGCAAAAAAAAAAATTCACAGTTACTTCGGGCCAGAGATTTAGCTCAGTGGTTTCGCCACCTGCTGCACAAGCGCAAGGACCCAAGTTCAATCCCCAATACCAAATAAATAAATAAACCTCTCTCAAAAAAAAAAAAAAAAACTATAAGCTTTAAAAAAAAAAAAAAGTAAAAAGGACTGGGGTTGTAGCTCAGTGGAAAGGCCCTGGGTTCAATGCCAGTACTGCTGTACACACATGCATAAAATCCACGAACTTTAAGATTTGAGCACATTTATCAAACTTGATTGAATGCACCTAAAACAGGCTCTGTAATTAATAACTAGAAAACATATGCCTTACAAACATACACATATGATCAAGAATCTATCCACCTGGATTTTGGAACACTTATAAAAACAATGGGGAAAACAGAAAATACCACAAAGAAACATCTGCAAACCTCAAACTCTTGTTTTAAGAAAGTCCTTGAGGGCTGGGGATTTAGCTCAATGGTGCCACTGCCTGCCTTGCAAGCGCAAGGTCCTGAGTTTGATCCCTGGTACCAAAAAAAAAAAAAAAAAAACGCCCTTGAATAAAGAAAATCAGGATATATTTAAAAGTATATCAATTATATATCAGAGCCAGGGATTTAGATTTAGCTCAGTGGTTCCACTGCCTGCCTCGCAATCGTGAGGTCCTGAGTTGGATCCCCGTACCAAAAAAAAGTATCAATTCAATGGATTAATATGAAATTTAGGAAGGAATGTATAGTCTTCAATACTAGAAAAGATTCTTACGTATTAGAATTCTAGATCTAATAAGGCTAAAAATTCAGAATAAACTAAGATTTGGCATTTAGAGTATCAAAACATGTATTTTTCTTAAATTGATTTCTAGAATTTTTCTCAATTACACATTAGGGAGAAAAAACTTATAATTATTACAACCTCACATCAAAATCTCATGTGTTGCCAGATTCACAATGAACATGGGTGTGGGTACGTGGTTTTTCATTTCGTTGGTTGGTTTTTTGAGGCAGGATCTCCCTCTGCAGCCCAAGTTGGCCTCGAACTCTCCTCAATCCTCCTGCCTCAGCCTCCTGAGTGCTGAGATTACAGGCATGCGGCACTACAACCAGTTCCATGGTTTTTTTCAACTCCATTTGGAAATCGTCACACAAAATATTAGGGAAAAAATGTTAGTCCGTGTGTTGTTAAATAAATCTCAGGACTGCCTTCCAACTCCAAACACTGGAACCATCCCTCTGAGCCTCACACAGAAAGAGGCCAGGTACCATGTCAGATGGTATGGTGTACACACTATTACTGCTATCAATCCAAAGCAGTTTCTTCTTCCAATTTGTCCCACACTTTCCCTAATATGTGTATGCACACGAATGATGGCAGTACCACAGCAACCAGATTCCACGCAAGGCAAGGGGTGTACAGTAAGAACACAGTCTCACACTTGAGGCCACACCTGCCAGGTGAGGGAAGCCATGATAACTGAGCTACTCAAACTCCCGGCACATACATGAGACCCCAGGACAGACATAGGGCTAATAAGGCAATGGGTATTTCGTACCAACCAACAGTGCCTGGCACTCAGGCGATTAGTGAAGACTAAGTCATGAGGAGCACACAAATCCAAGAATGAGATCAATCTTCCAGACAGTCCAAACTCCGCTACCTTTCGTGACTCCCATCACTTGACACACACCCTAATGTGGGGTCAGTAACACAAGCCTCCAGGGCACCACCCCAAATGTTTCGGGGCTTGCCCTGTCTGGCTTTACAAATCACTAGTCTCAGCTTGCTGCCCACACTGGTCTCGAAAGACACTGAGGGAGAGCAAAGGGCTCCCGTCCCCTCCCAGCCAGCCCACCATGTAAACATCCCAGTCCTCATGTCAGCCCCACCCAAGTTCTCTCTTCAGGCTTCAGACACAAACAGATGACCACAGGGCACAGCGCAAGGGTATCTACAGGCATCCCAGAGAGAGCAGGACCCAACCTGAGGTCTTCATCCTCCCTCCCCTTTCCAAACCTGGCTTTTCACTGGGGAGTTCTACCCCAAGCACTCAGCTAGAGGTCCTGCCTGTCCTCGCTTGAAAATCTCCCTGGCCCTTTCCACGGTCCCATGGTCCCACCCTAAGGACGGCAGGGCCTCCCGATTGCACCTGGCCCACTTCTCACTAAGATGGACGCTCAGAAATGTGCATGGGGGAGGGCTTAACTGGGAATTGAACCTAGAGCCTTTGCACGGAGCTACACATTTCCGGCACTTTTTTTCCTTTTTATATTGAGACAGAGTCTTGCTAAATCACCAATTTGCCCAGACTGGGTTCAAATTTGTGATCCTCAGGCCTCAGACTCCCAGAGTGCTGGGATTACAGCACTGTTATTAGTGTGCAGATTCCATCACCAACAGATACAATCTGTGGATATGGATATGACAGATCTAGCCACAAGAGACAATGTCAGGTCCATCTAAGTGTGAGAGGGAATCAGAACAGTACACTGGCATCAGTCGAGTCTGGAGGAGAGAAATGGGATGAACCCAGGACATTTCACCAAGCAAGAGACTTCACCAATAACCAGAGGCATGGTAAAGAAAACACAAGGGTTTAGCTTGTCTGTGACCTCCGAGGTGACACAGAGTAAGTCACAGCTAAATGCAATCTGGGCTCCTGGATTGGTTTCTGGGGTAGGAAACCTAAGTAGTGGTAAATAGGTGGAATCTGATAAAATATACGGTGCACAGCCCTGTCCCAAAATCTATTTCTCCATTTTGATCAACCACTATGGTTATATAAAATGTTCTACCAAGGAAAGCTCAGCAAAGGGTATACAGGAAAACCTGTACCATCTCCTCAAATCTCCAAGTTTCACAGACTGAGGTGTAGCCCAATGGTAGAGCACTCACCTAGCATGCTCCAGGCCTGGCCTAGGTGAAACCCCTAGCACCACTACCCCCCAAAACCACTATACTTTGTGACAATTGTAGCTTAAGTATAACCCTATTAAGAGGAAAGG